TTAATTGAAATAGTGAAAACATATATTGCAGTTTATGGCAGTTTATGGCAACATGAACAGTATCTTTAGAAAAAAAAGTGTTTTTTTTTTTAAGTTTGCAAATTTACACGAGACAAGATTTTTTTATTCTTGTTTAAGATACTGTGGTGTTAAAAAAGTAATACATCCTTGATGCACACTTTGCACACTTGAAAAATCGTGCAAGGAATAAAAATTAAAAGTGAAATAAAACAAAAAAATAACAATTTTTAATAAAACTATGACCTAAGCACTATGCTCAAGGACCTCAATCGAGTAGATTTTAAGAAGAATATGGATAAAACAAATGTCATGTCTAAAGTCCATGTCATACCTATGCCAGTAGTTGTTGGGAGCAATAAGTTCGAAGTTGTTGATGAGTATGTTTACCTGATACAAATATTCCGGCTAGGTTAAGTCCAACTTCAACCAAGAGGTCAATCGACGAATTCAACAGGGCTTTCGGCTTTCGGGAGATCACGACACATCATTTCATCAGGCATACCTCAAAACCACAAAACTAGATTATACAACCAGTGCGTGCTGCCAGTCATGACTTATGGATTTAGACGTGGTCCTTCACTGCTGGCCGTATGAGGAAGCTCAAAGTTGCTCAGCGAGCTATGGAGAGATATAGACACAGTAACTGACAGACAGCGTAACTGACATAGCCTAATGGATTTGTAAGTTAAAGTAGTAATTGGCCGTCTTGAAGAACTGACCAATAGTGTAGAAATAAGGTTCTTGGGTGACAGCCTCATGCTAGCAGGTGAAGAGTGGGGCGTCCCCCTAGTGGACTGAGTTTGATAAGACATTCAGGAAATCAGTGGATAAAGGTGGCTTGGGACCGTGCTTTGTGGCGTTCCTTGGGGGAGGCCCATGTTCAGCAGTGGATATATGAAGGGCTGTAATTATGATGATGAATGTTGTGGGATTGAAACAGCTGAAAGAAATAAACCATACATTTATAAAGAACACAATAATTTTAGAATATAAAATAAATTTACGCCATATGTTAAACCCAGCTTTCAGGAAAACAGTTAATAAAAACTCTTACCACTTACGTGATTCTTATCCTAACATTCACTTGAATCATCGAAGGATTTGAAATCATCATACATATATAAAACAAGTAGAATGAATAACACGTAGTACCACATTGACAAAACACAACAACCTGCACCCAAATTCTGCAGTAGAAAAGTTAACAATCAAAAGAAAATACGGAGGTAGAGGATTAATAGATATCCATCACCTTTGGTAGAAGCAGATCTACATCTTAAAACATTATTTAATACTAAATAGCAAACGACTGATATACTCAAATCTATAACACACATCGACAAAAACTACACACCACTAAATCTTAAAGCAAATACATATCTAGGAAACCCGAGCAATAGAGATCCACAGAAAAAGAAAATAGTAAACTGGAAGAAAAAATAACTACGTGGTTGACTTCCACATGACTTAAGCCAACACCACATAGGCGCAAAAGCGTCAAACAACAAGATAGCCTGTTCCCAGAAAAAGAAGGACTTTTAGTAGGAAACAAGTAATAAACAGAAAAAAACTATGGAAAGCACATTATCGAAAATCCTACAGTTACAAACGATGAATGCCGCAAGTGAAACAGCTAACCAGAAATAATAAAACACATAGCCGGAGCATGTACAAGCCACACACAAATACACACACAGATTACACTCACAGACATAATCAGCTCGCAAACATCATACATCAAAAATTGACAAACATAAATTCATTCTAAACACAAACGCCCCGTACTACAAATATACACTACCTAACTAATGGTGGTCACACACGGTCAGTTAAACTGATTATTCCAACTAATCAGTTCAAACAAAAACTGTTGATATTTTTTAAATTTCGGATTTTCGATACATCCATAAATAAAGTTATACGCAAAACTCCGATATTAATATATTTATAATAATCGATATATCGAAAATCCACTATTTAAAAAAATATCAACAGTTTTAGTTTGAACTGATCAGTTGAACTGACCGTGTGTGGGGTCCATATTAGTTCTAGAAAATAACAGACACAAACTTTACAACGATCGCGCTTTACTTACTGACAAACCCATTCAATATAATAGACAAGATATTACTCTGCAAGATAAAAATAGTAAAACCACGTACTTAATAGATATTGCAGTAACCAACAGTAAAATTTAATAGTATAATGGATTTTGGAATTGTACCAGTACATCCACTTCAACCTAATTGAAATAGAGAAAATATTATTCATCACTCTTTACATCCAGGTAAATCTCCGTCTCCAATAGCGGTTATACTATAGCGCATATCATCAAACGTAATATCCGAACTCTCGACAGAAGGTAATATCAAAGATGCGAAAAATCTACTTATATTGTTAATCTGCCTGCCAAATTAGGTGGTTATGGCAAATTCCAGCAATGGCATGCGTGGATGAAAAAAATAGACTAACTTAACGAAACCTATTCAATTTTAAATATGTCCTCGTAAAAATTTAATGACTTCCTATATTTACGCGTAAACTACACATTGAATAAAACTAATTTTACTAATTTTACTTATCTTATATATTTTATTCCCGGCGTGTTTCTTTGACAGCGACTGTGGTCATTAGAGATCTAAGCATTTGTCGTCATAATTAGCCCTAGTTAAGACGGGCTATCTTCAACTTTCAAATATTAATTTTTGGGTCGACCTATCGAGCTTGCAGTATCATGATATTATTTTTCTTTGTTGGTTTTTTTTTTTGGTTTTTTTTTTGGGTTTATTTTCAATAAAAAAATCATGATAGAACTATGTATACAAGTGACTAAGTTTTATTATATCGCAATAAATTTTTTATACACACCTACACCTTGTCCTCTAATATAACACTAAATAAATTTACCACGATAGCTCATTGTGATGACTGGTGGTGTGATACACCGCGGAAATATCAGATAGCATTGCTTTTTTCTGTGCATATTATAACTATTGCTTCTTTAAGTAATGCTTGTAAAATCTTGAATTTACAGAAGAATTAAAAACGGCTTTCATCCCAGTCTTCTCTTTTAAAGAATAAGTTAAGTAGATGTTATGGCCCATAGATATTTACATTTATTCTCGACTAAGAATTTGGATGCACCCCTGAAAAGTGAGATAGAATACCTCTATTTCAGTAAAAAGGGTCTTTGGTTCTCTAAACTACACTACACGAAACATAGTAGTATTAAAGTTGCTATTTTACGCTGGTTTTCTGTGAGAGCGTAGTCCTACACCGATCGAGCCAACCCATTCGTGCTGCAACTATAATATAGCTGTAGAATTGCTCTCTTTCATACAATTCAGTCCTCCAAGAATATTTTGGCAACAATGGGACCTACGGATGATCTCAATTTCTTTTAGCTTCTTAGTTATAATTAAGATGCAGTTTTTGATAGGTAGGCATGTAAACAGTGACTGAACATCAAAACTGACCATGTTTTTCTTTCTCTCTCTGACAAAATGGTATGAATCCTTTGTGTCATCATCATCATCATTACAGCCCTTCACAAGTCCACTGCTGAACATAGGCCTCCCCCAAGTAATGCCACAAAGCACGGTCCTGAGCCACCTGCATCCATCGACTTCCTGCATTTCTTACCAGGTCGTCACTCCATCTAGTAGGGGGTCGCCCTACACTACGCCTACCGGTACGAGGCTGCCACTCGAGAACCATTCTTCCCCATCGGTTATCGGTTCTTCGAGCTATATGGCCGGCCCATTGCCACTTCAGCTTACTAATCCGTTGGGCTATGTCGGTCACTCTGGTTTTACTGCGGATATCCTCATTTATGAGTCTATCACGCAGAGAAACTCCGAGCATAGCCCTCTCCATAGCTCGCTGAGCGACCTTGAGCGTCCTCATACGGCCAGCAGTGAAGGACCACGTCTCTGATCCGTAAGTCATCACTCCTTTGTGTGTTCTCCTTTATATTTTCTCTACAGTAACAGTATTTTAGTACCTAATTTGTTGAGCCAATTTATAAGTTGGTGAATCGATATGTTTTACTATTGGATGTAGAATAGCGTTTGGTTTTTATATTTTATTATTATTTAATTCGTGAGGTGTTACTAAATTTACGTCTAGATAAATGTTTCCAGAGCATTTATCTAAAAATAAATTAGTCTTATTCAAATCTTTACTAGCGTAAATAAGACCTTAATTGTTTAACGTTTATGTGTGCGGACTGAAAAAAGCAAATAAAATTTATCGATTAGAAGATTAAATAAAATTATATACGGATTTTATCGACAATTAACTTATTTTATTCCCGCTGTTTCGTTTCGTCGACGTAAAAGATATTCATCAACTAAACATTTCAATAAATAAAACCACGGGAAATATATGCAGTGAATTAAAGCATCAAAAAACATAATAATATTTATGCAGTGGTGGGCATTTACATCGGACGGTAATATGGACAGTCTCACGGACTACAGTCGTATGTAACAGATCCGATCAAGGATTTATTGGTCGTAAGAACGGTCCATACGACCAAGATTATGTTGAAGGTTTACAGCACTACCGCTTTGTTCCTAGAGTGAGTGTTGCCCTCAAACGTGAAGTGAAAAAATATATAAAAGAAATTTATAACCAATATTATTCACAGTATGAACAACATTCCCACACACTTCAACTCAAAGGTAAGCGCCAAGTTCGGCGTACAGTAATCGACAGATTACAAATCATGCAAAACTACTTATGAAGTTCTAAGACCATTTTCCAAGGGCAAATAGAAAATATATGACAAAAATATTACGTGAAATTAGTTTCATTTGATATAATACGAAATCATCTAACTGGAAATTCGTAATCAATAAAAAATATGTTATTTGCCTTTTTTTTCGGTTTTCTTAATGCGCTTATATCGTGAAAACGCTAATTTGCTATTGAATTTTGTTTCAGTATGTAACCAATTCACGAGGAGTGTGATCGCCATGTTGGGTGCGGTAACAGCTGACTCCTTTGATACGCTGCATTCGTACACTAACACATTCCAGATGCCTTTTGTCACTCCGTGGTTTCCTGAAAAGGTAATTATAAATATACATTAAAAATTATATCATAAGATTTTTTCCATTTCATGATACATATTCTCTACAAATCCGCCAAAAGTCAAATAATCCACTGCTGTATGTATGTATAGACCCTATCCCATAGTTGAATGATTTACCGTAATCACGATACTTGGTTGTGAGATTGGCAAACGACATAAAGATATCAGACGGCAAAAATAATTGTCACTAGTCCCACAAAAACCTAAGAGGCTTTTCCCGCATTTCTTATAGATGCGTCATAACACCCAATGTAATGAAATTGGGACAATGAATTCTTCTCTTTCACCGCACCAAACATCGAACCTACGAGCAAAACGATTTAACAATCTTAAAAGCACGACGGTCTGAAATTCCGGTTAAATTGCATCTCGAATTGCTAATGTAGCTACCACCACTACTCCATTCATAATAATTTTAAAAGTGTTTTTAATGTTAACGGTAATTACTTCAAATTATTTATTTATTAATATTGAATATACTTTTATGATATCATTCAATGTTACAAAGCTAGGTACTTGACCCAGTCAGAAAGACGAAACGTTACACATGTCATCAGTCTCCTTAGTCTAAATACCAATAAAATATATATTTCTTAAGCAAAGTTAATTGAATTAACTTTCTTTAATAAAAACAGAATTAAATAAGTCTTAAAAATTATATTATGTAGAATTTACTTGCGGTTAGACCATGAGTATATTTTAACTAGGTGTAGCAGTATTATTTCAGTGTAGCATGAATAGGTAGGCTTGGTATCACCGGGGTATAACCACGTTCTCACAGTATACCAGCGTAGAATAGCAACAAAATGCTGTGTTTTATATTAAGTATGGTGAGTGATTTTATTGGTAATGATTTATTCCAGATAAATAAAATGTTGCTTAATTCTTTACCATTTATTTTCTCAAATTTTCACTTTTTCAAAAAAAAAAATGTTTATGTTTTTTGATATAAATAACGTAGATCACATTCAGCATTGCTCTCTATCTATTTCGGAAATATTATTGCCATCAGTTCAACCATTACGAAGACTAGCCCAGACAGACAGACAGACAAAACGTAGCGTAGATCACATCCGGCATTTCTCCCTATCTATTTCGGAAGTATTATTGCCATCAGTTCAACTATTACGAAGACTAGCCCAGACAGACAGACAGACAGACAAAACATAGCGTAGATCACATCCAGCATTTCTCTCTATTTCGGAAATATTATTGCCATCAGTTCAACCATTACGAAGACTAGCCCAGACAGACAGACAGAAGAAAGAGAAACGTAGCGTAGATCACATACAGCATTTCTCTATCTATTTCGGAAATATTATTTACATCATTTCAACCATTACTAAGAATATCCCAGACAGACATACAGACAAAACGTAGCGTAGATCACATCCAGCATTTCTCTCTATCTATTTCGGAAATATTATTGCCATCAGTTCAACCATTACGAAGACTAGCCCAGACAGACAGACAGACAGACAAAACATAGCGTAGATCACATCCAGCATTTCTCTCTATTTCGGAAATATTATTGCCATCAGTTCAACCATTACGAAGACTAGCCCAGACAGACAAACAAAACATTTAAAAATGGTTATTCATTTCTTTAATGGTATGCAAATAACCCTCTCAGCTGATTTTGATCGAAATAGACACTTCATTTTTATTAATTCATATGTATACATTGTTAATCATTTACAAAAAAATATCTCAGACTTTTTAATAATCGTATTTTCCGTAGTTGGCTTAGTTTTTATATTATTAATTTTATCAAAAGTATTTTGGGGATATGGATCATTAGAGCGACATACCCACTTAGCTCTTTTTATTTGTATCATATCGAAAAAAAAAATGATTTTATTAATTGATTCCAACACATCAATGAACACCATCACTTTACTAACAATGTATATGGTGGTATCTCATCTTAGGCATTTTGATACTTATTATGAAGTTACCATCTATAACAACTTGCTCTGATCATGAACCGTGAGATCCTCGTGATCCTCGTGAGAATTCTTGAGTCGTGATACGAGTATTATTGCATTTTCATAGATTGTAATAGGTCTGCGAAATTTGTGAAGTGGTTTGAAAATTAATTATAAAATTTTATGACATTCATACATATTTACATATTTTAATTTGTTATAATGCTACATGCATTATAACAAATTGAAATATATAAATATGAAATATATAAATAGCTAAAACTGAACAAATATTGTCATTATAAATGTTGATGTAAATGTATAAAACAAAATGTTGTCAATCATGTCGTTGTTCGTTTCGAGTTCACACGTGCTGTGAAAAAGATAGTTCACGTCAGGTATTGACAGTCACTCAGAACATTCGTGACTGTAATACTTCAAATCCAATCCTATATTACTAACTCCTCTCTAAATTAAATAAAAATTGAATTATGCTAATTTTATAAGATACTCGTACTAACAGTGTATACATTGTACATAGTTTCGGAAATTATTCATTAAACACATTTTAAGTCAAAGAGGTATTTACTAATAACAACTGCGAACGTGTCGTTTGTATAGGCCTTTTATAATTTTTTAACAAAATATGCTCCTATAATATATCATAGTATTACTTGGGTAAACAAAATTGGGTATACAAAACTATTACTTGGATAAACCCAAATAGTACATTTTTTTCTTAAATATCTTTTTTGTAATTTTGGGTCGAATAGAAATGCAGCTCCTACAATTGCAGATTTGTTTGCCAGAAGAGCAAACACTTGTTTTGAGTACACGCTAGCGGTTACATAGCTGTTTGTAGTTTTCATGACAAAAATGGCAATTCAATGCATACAAGAAATTTCGCAAATATTTGTCAACGGGAACAACAATGAAATACGTTTTCAAATAAATATCATGACTTGCATACTTGTATAACTTTCGCTGCGTGTTTTTATATAGAGTCCAATAAAAAAAAAGTTGGATAAAAAAGGGGCTCATACATCATTAAGATTTCAACCGTAGCTATTTAAAAAAGGTATATAACACCAATATAAATTTGGATGTCTTACAAAACAACTTTTATATTCCATCGTCCTTTTAGCTTTTCAGTGCAATTTGTTCGACTTCCCTACTACCTACTAAATCTAGTTTTGAGGAAGAAGGTAATGGCCTTCTTTGATCTTTAAATGTCCATAAAACACGAAGAGACAAAGTCTTAAGACTATTGCTCTCAGCAATTTAAATCTTTGTTTATACTCCGCTACCAGTTTTTGCAATAATTTAGTACAAATATATCCCATCTCTGGGCTGGAGCTCCCCAGTACCAGCTCCTTCCACTTGACCGCTTCCAGTGCTGAGCGGCTCGAATCGTCGACGACCGAGTGCTTTCCGATCGGCTCGATTCACTGGTGCTGCGAAGAGATGTTGCATCTCTTTGCATTGTCTTTCACATATACCATTGAGAGTGCTCTGAGGAATTGTTCGGATTAATCCCAGCCGCCAAATTTCGTGAACACACTAAGCGGCAAACGTCCCGATACCATTCACGCCATCTGGATGCTTGGCGGTCCACCACTGTACGTTTCAAAAGGAGTTTTCTTCCGCGTACAACCTCTCTGTGGGATAGTTTACCACCGGCGATTTTTCCGTCCGGTACGACCTAGGGACCTTTAAGAAAAGAACTTACTCCTTTCTAAAGGGCCGGCAACTCACCTGCAATTCCCCTGGTGTTGCGGTTGATCATGGTCGGCGGTAGTCACTTAACATCAGGTGAGCCACATGCTCGTTTGCCCCCTCCTCTATCAAAAAAAATAAGGTTTTCATATCTCTATTTATATTCACACAACTTGAATATTATAATTTGCAATAACTAAGAAGTTTAAAAACCTCTGCGAGAAATTTTCTAGAACCATAGCGTATTACCAACACACTAATAAAATCAATATACAATACGCATAATAAAATAAATAGGTGAATTGTATTGTGGTTGGAGCATTCAAACAAAATGGAGAATTCATCACTCCATTTTGTTCCGTGGAAGTCCTAAGAGCAGCTGATAACAAAGAAAATTGTTGTTGCCAAACTACTTGCCAAGTATATCAAATATGGTAAATATAGCCCCTTTTAAGTAATCTATAGGGAAGATCAATGTTCAGCAGTGGACTTTTTTAAGCTGTAAATAATTAAAAGAAATAATGAAACCGGTGACTGCACAAGTTTGAGGCTTTCTAGAGCTTATTCTTCCTGAGTTAACGTTAAGAATGAGAATACACGGCGGCGTATATGTCATACTAACGAATTCATAAATTTATTCTGTTTACTTACCAGAATAAATTTATAATAATGGCATTAGAATTTTTTACCAACATTGCCTTCCTACAACTTTAATATTTTAAAAACAAGAAACCTTTTAAAATTACTAAAATTGCCCATTTATACTTATCAAACATCTGATAATCAGATTTAAAGAATATAAAATAAGAAAAGTATACGGAAACGGCCACAATCCATCAAAGGAAGGAATAATTTTTCAAAGAGGATTTGAAAATATAATGAAAGTGATCCAATTTTGGAGGAGGAAACAGCGAAACACGAAAATGAAAATAATTTCGGAATTTCGAAAAAAAGAAACACAAAAATGATAATGATTTCAATCAATTTATATAGGTATAATCAGTTTGAGCTGCAGTTGTCTCCCGCGGTTAAGTAGCTCGTTCGTTTGGACACACCGCGACAGGAATTGGTTATTGAAAACCTATTTTTCAATGTTTTTGCAGCTGTTATGTCTTCTTATTCTTTTAAGTTGCCATCATGGCTAATCTATAAAAGTTATTTTTTTTTTCTAAAAATTATGAATTTACGTTATTATGGCAACTCATTTACATTACATTTTACTTATAAAATTGGCGTGACAGTATGCTTTAGGCGTAAATTACACGCTCATGCAGGCTGTCCGTTTTACAACAATCGAGGTTGTGATTGACGAATAACCTAACGTGTAATGCAGTAATTGACGCCTGCATGAGCGCGTTATGTACGTCTATCAGTCACCATCCGTTTTTTATCAATCATGATAGATGGAATTGATTGACGCTTGCATGAGCGTGTAATGTACGCCTTACAGCTGTGGCCATGGAAGGAAAAGGGGAGATCTCCCGCCGGGCAAGATGTTGTGCCCGGGGAGCGGCCGACACTCCATGTGATAGTTCGGAGATGTTCTATATATACTGTTTCTGATTCGGAATGTTGATAGCGCGATTTAGGCTTCGGTGTGTTTCGGTGTGCTAGTGGCGCGACGACAGCGCCGCTACATCGCCCCCCTGCTCAGACCGGAGGTCGATAGTGCAGTCGAGTTGTCGAAGAATGTGCAAGTGCCAGGAAATTGCCTTGTAGTCTGCGGTGAGTCGAGAAGAAGGCAAGTAATCTGCGAAAGTGCAGAGAAGCAGAGGCGAGCAGTAAGGCTCAGAGCCATGCCGAACACTATAGCGCAGAGAGTAGCTTGAAGGAACAGGAAGCATTATTATTCCAGTGCTGCGATGAACCTTGTGAAGCTAGATGGCTTGCAGGATATGAAGACTGCAGACGATATCTGCTCGGGAGCGAATGGGTGGGGTATTTTATGATGATGATGAAGCTGGAAGTTTCCGAAGGTTGTTTAGTTGCATGTTCAGATCACGTCGGGGTCACCACTGTGGCCGTGAAGGAAAAGGGGAGATCTCCCGCCGGGCAAGGTGTTGTGCCCGGGGAGCGGCCGACACCCCGTGTGATAGTTCGGAGATGTTCTATGTATACTGTTTCTGATTCGGAATGTTGATAGCGCGATTTAGGCTTCGGTGTATTTCGTTGTGCTAGTGGCGCGACGACAGCGCCGCTACACAGCTATATTTTAAAATCACTGATGTAATAAGATTTAAATTGTAATGTCTTAAAATATAAATTGCATCTTATCCTATAAATTTATTGGTATTGAAACTAATTGTTTAAATTATAAGTATAAAATATATCAAAAAAATTCAAAGCCACTAAACAGATTACACATTAGTTATAAAAGAAAAATAGGGAGATGAAAAATGTTACTACATTACTGTAAGTAAGTACGCAATTCAACCACCAGTATTCTGAACAAACAATAAAAGTCTTTCTTTTGTTTCCTGAAGTCAACTAGAAAGTTCTCGGTTATGAGCTTTGTCTATAGAGATGTCCACATCTTGCTTGCTAATTCAAAGTCCTTCGAACATTAGTCCTGCGAAGAACAAAAGAAAAAAGCATTCCTTTAAACGAGTATCATCTGGGAATTTTTTTATTTTTCAACAGTACTTTAAAATCTTTATGTGCGAATGTGACCTTTATGGGGTGATATTTTCAGTCATTCGAAATAATAAAAAGTAATCATGAAGCTTCCTTTTTAACTAGCTGTCATAAACAAAAAAAACATATTTTATGTTTATTTATAGTGTTTTTCCACAACTTGAATCTTATAAAAAGATTTATTTCCTTATTTTCCGGGTAAACATTAAAATGCTTGTAACCAGAAAATCCTCAATTTTCAATTGATGTACTTAAATTTGGGTCAGTTTGCTGATTATAATAGTTTTCTCCTTTGTGATTTTTTTCCGTAATGTTTTTCAACGATAAAGATATCAAAACTATTATTTTAAATAACGACATTTAAAGAACAATTACAAATATTAACGAAAAGTTTAAAAGTCACAAGTATACCTAAACCAACACGGTTTCTCTCGAGGTCGCTCAAGTGGTGATCTCCTGGCTTACCGGTTCCGTAAATGTGCGGAGACATCAGTATCCAAGGAAAAGGTCTTGATCGTTATTTTGAATATATCGAAGACCTGAAATCGAGTTGAGCACAAAGCGCTACTTTCGAAGTTTCCTTCCTGTAAATTGTTCCTTCGACGATAAATTGTTTCATCACCAGTTTTCTTGCAGATTGGAGCATCAAACTCGTAGTACATGGCGCATGCTGCGACTACGAGCTTTTAATGCGGTTGTTCCACAAGGCTGCGTGCACCAACGCTGTTTCTTATGCATATCGTGACAAATCTTACGATACAATCCACACCATCTGGATGTTTGAAAGTCCATTGTGCAATTTAATAGGAGTTTTATTCCCCGTACGACATCTTTGTAGAATTAATTACTACGTATACGACTTAACAGTGGCGAAGCTTCCATTAAAGCCGAAAAGCCGGGCTTGCCTTATTAAACCTGAATCAATCAATATCAATCAATAATATCAACTAATAAAATAACTCGTAAAATGTTTCAAGCTATTTCAAATTTCCAGCGCACTCCACTGTTCGACACATGTCGACCGATGACCTCGTATTGCCTTAGCGATACTGCTGCTGTCATAAAAAATGAGTTTTAATAGAGCTAATAGTTGTCTCCCTCGCTCGCGTGGGCTTTTTACGGTGCTTTCGAGAAGACGATCGCTCTCTTTCTAACCTATGGCAAAATATTCTATAATGAAATATAACTACGATTGTATATATAGCAATTAGTATAGAGATTTAAAGCCAGGCTTTTGGGAATAAATTTGTTAAAAGCGGTGGCGCGCGGGCAATACGTTTGCAAGTTCATTTCACGTTTCAATGTTTATTTACTCTGTGTGCTTATCTTAAGCAATTTAATATTACGAGTTCAAAATTTATGCTTTTTTAAAGATTTTTAATGAAAATGGAGGATAATAGTGTTCCTTGTGATGAATTGAAGTGTGTTAAAGTGATAATCGGAGAGGAAATCTTTCAACTTTGTTGAGATAATACACAAGGCTAAGAGTGTATTTCAGACTTATCAATTATCGAAATTAAAAACAGTTATTGGTAGAATTAAAACGTTCGCCAACATTTTACGTCGACGTAATTAAATCTTTCCATAAGAAAGCGAGACGATTCCACTTATCTTATCTTATTTCTTATCCATTAGAATGTAAATAATTTTTTTTAATTTGTACATTGTTTGTTTGTACTTTGTTCGTGTTTTACTTTTGTTCATGTATTGTATTGGATGTAAATATTTTTTTTCTTTCGCTTAAACAAACCCAAACCGCATTTCTTCAAAGCCACCGAAGCTATGCAATTGCTGATATGTAATACAATCTATCTAGCAGTGGTATGCCTTCTGTGTGCTTTGTTAAACACGTCCTTGACAGCACTGAATATGAAACTGAAGCATGGAAACAGATCAAGATTGGTGTATTTTTATAAAGCTGCTAAAAACAACAATCTTTATTTTTATCAATTTATATCTTGGGCTGGCCCTAGCTTGGAGCTCTAGCTTCGCCACTGCGACTTAAGGACTTCAAGAAATGAGCTTATTCCTTTTCAAAAGGCCGGTAAAACACCTGCTATTCTCCTGGTATTGCAGTTGTTTATGAGCAACAGTCGACACTTACCGGTGATACGCATGGCACGATTGGTGGGCCGCTAGCTCATTTTCTTCCTCTTCTATATAAAATGGCATGGAAAATTCTAAGTTAACTTAGATTACAAATTACTATTAAATTAATGACTATAAAAAGGTTTAAATATTCAGTAGAAATAGTGGGAACTAAAAATAAAAGGAGTCCCAATAAAATTCAATTACAAGGGATATTACTTCTTATTCTGTAGTGTCCATACATTGCCCAGAGATGGGAATGCATCGACATTGCCGTATTAACATCAATTTTATTCGGAATTAATACTCTTTTTATCTATGCTGACTCATTTTACCTTCAGATTTACTCTCTATTTATACTACTGCATAATCTTAGTCACATATAATTCCATTTCTGCGTTCCTATCATTAAGGCATCCAAGTGCTGCGTTTTTTAGTTTAAATTTTTCAATTTTTTTTTATTTTTTGGTTGAAGGAACTGCATAACGATACATCAGGGCTCAGGGCTACAATTTTTTAATTTCAATATTATTGTTTTATTCAATGAATATATTTGTTATGTACTGTTTTAATTTCGCAGGTGATTCCGCCTTCATCAGGCCTGATAGATTACGCTGTGAGCCTGCGCCCGGATTACCATCGAGCTGTCATTGAAACTATCATGTACTACGGGTGGAAAAATGTCATATACATCTACGATTCGCATGACGGTAAGTTGGAATATTTACCATCTTTCACATTTTATTTTCAATCGTCTTATCAAAAATTATTATATTATTACATGTTTCTTATACTATTAATAACTTTACTTGCTTTTCTTTTTTTCAAAGTGGTACTTTCTTTTATATACTATATTATAATGGAATTTTGTGCATTGAATATTTTTGAATATTTTATCAAAGTTGAAGTTGTTTTATTGATATCGATAAGGTTACTATAGATATTGATGCCAAAACAACAATTTTCTTATTTGTTTTTCTGTAACCCTGAATATCTATCTATATATCTGAATTTCTATACAATTATAAGACAACTACTACTAGAGAGTATGTCTGTGTGTCTGTTAGTAAGTCTATCTGAACGCTCATCAAATACTGAGCTGAAAATGGATTTGGATCAGACTTTCATTCTATTGCTATGAAGGGGCCAAACTGTTACAAAAATATATATGATCATACTGTCTATTGTGGGAGCTGGGGAGTAGACCTTTTTGTCTGAAAACATATGTATAATGTACAAACCTCTAGACAAATTATAGTAAAGCTTCTAATATAATGTTGCCTACGAGCTCTGCCGATACTAACCCTTTCTTTTAATCCGACTACAGCGTTGCAAAAGGCGAGTTGTATTTTTCACTTCCTTTCATGTGTTTTTGATTGCTGTTGGTCTTTGTTGATGTTTGTCAATTTCTCCTAGGTGGAATAACTTAGACTAAGATAAATTTAACTAAACTTTATTATTTATATCTTAAAATATTAACCGTTATATACTATATATACGGAATAATATATTAACAACAAAACGGTTGGCATTTGGCATATCGGTGGGTTTTTATTATTTTGAATTGTTATAAGGTAAGAGATGCTGTCTATTTCTAATATGCCTATACCTTCTGCGTTTTGATAGACTTTAAGAAACAAAGGTACCCCTCGCTGTGTTTTCCTCCACCATCGAGCACGTGGTAAATTAAATTTCAGAAGTATTACTAACCATTTCGAAAATAGAGGATCGAACTAGCGTTGCCTGTATGCTATGCGGGCTCTTACCACCTGAGCCACCATGGCTCTCCATTCATTATTAATTTACAAATTTAGCAAAGTACAATAGCTGTGCTTTGTTACTGAAAACCAAATATTATTCTCTTTGTTTAAAAAGTGTTTTATAAAGTAATCGATTTAATATTTTTTAACGGATTATAATGTCTCTTTAAATCATAGACATAGAATAAAAATGGCGTATAGATGACCTAATAGCCCGAAAACGCGTGACAAATTTTGATTTGTCTTTGTATAGCCAGTGATGTATATTTTACCTACGAAGACTATCGATAAATGATTACATAGCGAGCAAAAAGCAGCAACTTAGTGCTAAGGGAGAGGTAAAAAGCATTAGCAAAATTAGTTTAGTACAAAGAAACAGAATAACTTCAAAAATAAAACGTTTTTTATTAAACTACTGAAATAATAATATTATTTTTCAATTACTCAAAAATATGTTACCTAGAATAATCTGAACCTGCCTACCCTTTGTTAGGTTTAATACAAAATTAACAAAATTCCAATCATATCTGACGAGGTGACCCATAAAATTAAACAACTTTAGAAACGGATCAGAAAGTTGTATTTTTGAGCCATTTTTGAACGTTTGATAAAACTGATTGATGGTTCAAAATATCATAGACTGTTTTTCCTGGGAATTTTTTTTAAATAATAATAATATACGAATACTGCCCAGCTGAGTTGAATCCATCGATTCACCTCTCAATCGAAGTTAGCCTTACCTAGTCAGACTATTTATCCCAGGTAAACGACGAGGTACGGTACGAGTTGATGGATGCTGATGGCTCAGGATCGTGCTTTGTGGTATTCCTTGACGGAAACCTATGTTCAGCAGTGAACTTGTAAATGGCTGTAATATAAGGAAAATTAAACCATCCTTACTCCATATCTACTTTTTTATGTCACTAGTAAAATATTTCTAAATTATTTTTAAACAAATTAATTACAATTACTTTTTGGCCTTTAAATAGAGCAATCTTATTAATTTGGTTCCAACAAGTTTCCTAACGGAAGTCATCAGCTTTACGTTCATTTTTAACTGAAATATCAAAGTAAATTTCTATAAGATAATTCATAATTAAATAACTTTAACAATTTAAAACATCTTGGTCCAAATTGTGGTGAATTAAACACAAAATCAAGTGGGTAAAGTCTAGTATAAAAAATAAAAATTAAAATAAATTTATGTTTTGAGTTTGGAGAAATTTTTCCCTTTCTTCTTCTTGCTGTGCGGGCTCCAGATTCGAAATAAATGTAGACAAATATTTCGAATGAAATTGTGTCAATCCGTAGCGTACATTTCAAATAGTTTGGTGAAAAATGTATCACCAAAATTATGCAAATTATCAACAACACGACTTTCTTCTTTACTAAATATGAAAATTAACAATGTTATTGAAATTATTTTATATTTTAAACAGTATTAAACATAAATTTAGCCTAAAAAAAACACGTCATAGCGGTGATAACATACTGAGAGTCAATATGTGAAATGTGTAACTGTCGGGATTATTTCTCTTATAAACACTATAGCCTTTTACAGAACAATTAACCATTATTGAAGATGAAAAATGCAAAATACTGAGGAATTCATTGTTTGCGTACCGACTTCAGACGACCTGTCATTTAAAATCAGTCACAGTAGTTAGAGTTGATATCCTATTCTATCTTGATATATTGCCATAAAAAAAATTCTTCTCCCTTGCATGCTATCCCTTTTTTTTATTCGTCCCCAGAATATTTTTTTTGGGAAATCAGAATGTGTCAAAAAGGCACGTATAGTATACGTAAGGTAGTTCACAATGCTGTGTTAGTCCTTAATTTAATATATGGTAGTGAACGTATGGTTGGAAGAAGAAGTATGAGAGTAGAATAAATGTTCTAGAAATGCGGTCATTAGGGAGTATGTTGGGACTGAATCCACATGGCAGGGTGAGAAATTGTGTGTTGAGAAAAAAGTATGATGATGTTGTAAATAAGTCACGTAGAAAGATTGAACAGGGAAAGATTGACAATACAAATTTATGTTGCCAACTAATTGAGCAGCAGAGCAGATAGATCAAAAGAACAGGGGAAGAAATGTCCTAAATGAAAGTTTATCGACTAAATTGGCAGTGTATTGCAGATGGGTAAGATTCTATATTGTGTGTTATAAACATTAATTGTAGATATTATAAAATAAAATATGATGATGAGGTCAGATTAAATTTATATCACTATTCAATTTAATTTATAGGTGACTACTATCTTAGTTTTATATCGAGACATAATACCTTTAACCAAAGAGCATGATATGCGTAAGTATATGGATGTAAAAGAGGCAAAAGAGGAATGCCAGGATCATGCCATATTAAAGTCCGTAGTCTCTACCTACAGTTCTGAAATCACGGTTACATGTGGAGTCGGCACATAAGTGGAGAATTTTTTTAAACGACTGTGTGGGTTGCACCTGGCTATAACTAATCTATGTAATAAAATGTTTCCATAATAGAATGATAAATTGAGTAATATAATATTACGATACGATATTAAGGCTGATATTCCTAAAGATATTAATGTTGTCATTAATATTCTAAAGCGTGATAGGTATTAAAATGTTACGCCTTTATTTCTGAAAGAAAGAAGGCAAATTCTTTAAAGTAATCGCGTCCGGAATGCTAATTCTATAAGACGTGCAAAATATTTTCAGCTCTCCCTCTTTCAGTAATGACTGCACTGTATTTACAGCATGGCTTTTCCGCAGTCACATCACGCAAATTGATTAAACCCCATACTAATGAGTTACAAAGGTAATATTATATTTGTTGAAATTTTTGTTGTTAACTCGGTCAACTATAGGGAAACAACCACATTATAAATAAACATTTCATATATCATAACAAAAATTTCCGAGGCTGTTGCTGAAATTAATAAACAATTTAAAAAAAATACCTGGAATAATATAAAAAAATGTTTTTATCCACATCATGTATAACTTTGTTCGTATCGTATAATCCTTTATCTACTTAATGTATCACTATTATTGTATTGTGATAAGTTATGCCCATTCCTATACATTTATTATGCCTATTTATTATGGGGTATCAAAAAAGTTCGTAAGGTTTTCAAAATGAGAATGTAGTAACGATTCGCCATAAAACATGATAAGAGACAATATTGTTTAAAACATCACTAATATATTCCTCGTCATCATCACAACAGCCCTTCACATAGTCCCTTGCTACTATTATTTATTCTATGCACCTGCTCAAAATATATACAGGAAAAAATTCCGTTGCTTTTTTATATTCTAATTTCTGTTTAAAAATAGCATGTCTTAATAATTTAACCTTTTGTCTGGCTTCTTCGCAATATTACTGATTAATACTACAAATTAATCACAATGTTGTTTTATATTATGGATTCTACTCGTATATTAAAGGCTACAAATAAGAGAAAAATATGATTAACATATTATTGTTCCAATATTCTCAATAGTAGTAATTTATAACCGAAATCATTCCTATTAATTAACTCTAATCGACTATCACCCACTGTTCATGACACCCATCAGTAGGACGGCAGAACATTATCTACTATGTTGTAATATTTAGATTTTGTTGAAAGGGAAACGTTAAATTAATATTATTGTAGTGAAAGTGAAATTCGATCAATTTAACTCTATAAAACTGGCGTTTTACATTTAATAATTATAAGAAATTATTATATCATATACTATTTTTGCACGAAGTTAATTACAGACGTCTATGGATTGCAGTAGCTTCTTGCATTGACAAAGACTGTTCATTTATCATTTGATATCGTAATGTAGAATATGAAGTAACAAAAATTATACCAAAAGCGGTTGCAAAGAGCACCCTACAAATTACACTATAAGGCTTTCATTGGTGTTTTCTTCCAATCACAAATTCCCTCGTCTCAAGAAAAAACTTTTGTTTGAAAGGTCGTTTCGAGGTCTCCCTCGAAGTAATAGCAATTTGCCAGAAAACATGTGGCACATAGCGATAATCTTTCATACGTCATATAAAAATGCCCATAACGTGGTAAATCTAGCACGATAAATCTATAAATATTTGGAAATTATTATATTATTATTACGCGCTCAAGTCGACGGCACTAGCGCCATCTAGTCTCGAACCGAAGAACTAAACTTCTTGAAGTTGAAACACGGACTCTTGGTACCTTGCGCGTGTTTACTTGAATATTCTCGATATTTTGCTGCTAATTTATATAAATAGGCGCTGCAAGATGCGATCGAGGAAGTATTGAATTCGGCGAGACAAGCGAAGCTTCGGAGCGGAATAAAGTGAATTAGTGTGATTAATTATTAGTGTTTTTAACTTTAATCTATGTAAAGTGAATTAAAGTGTTAATTTAGGTAATTCTATCGGCAATTTTTATTGTCACGAGCCTCAAGCTCGTAACAATTGGTGTCAGAAGTGGGATAAATTCATGCCGATTTTACCTAAGGAGGAAACGGAGGGTGTCCGTACCCGAAGTCAACGCCAGCAGGAGACGGACCAAAGAAGATTTGGTGGTGCAACGCCGCAGACGTCGGAGGGCCAGCCGCCGGCTGCAGGCCCGTCAGTAGCTCCTACATCTGCAGCACCTGACTTAGGTGCTCTGATGGTGATGCTGCAGGAACAGGCTCGCCAGCGGGCGGAACAGGCACGCCGATTGGAAGAGCAGCTGCGGGGCGGACAGGAGGAACAGGCCCGTCGGTTGGAAGAGCAGATGCTCCTCATGAAGGACCTTCACGCTACCTTCGGGAAGGAGATAAAGGAAGTGAAGGACAGGGTTGCTCAGCATGACAACCGCCTGTCGGAAGCTGAAACCCAAATCGCGAAAGCTGATACCCGAATCGACCAGGTAAACAATCGGGTTGACAACGTAATGGCTGACATAAAGAAATCACTGGACGAACTCAAACTTGGAGAGGGAGCTACAGCTCCCGTAGTAGCTACAACACCTTCGCTACGTGGGTTCAAGGTGCCACCGTTCGACGGTACCTCTTCCTGGTCAGCCTACAAAATCCAGTTCGAGGCTGTTATGAAGGCGAACGGCTGGAATAAAAGTCAGGCCAGGACTGCTCTCACACTGGGCCTGCGCGACCAGGCCTTAACAGTTCTGGAAGCTCTCGGTGAGGAAGTGACTTATGAGCAACTCCTTGAGGCATTGGAGGCGAGATATGGCGACGCTCACCTGGAACACGTCTTTCGTGCGCAGCTTAAAGATAGCGCGCAGCGCATCAACGAAAACCTGCAGCAGTGGGCTCTAGAGGTGGAGAAGCTGGTGCGAAAAGTATACCGGTCTGTACCTGCGCTCATTGAAGGGAACCTGGTGCAGATATTCATCGACGGCATCCGCGACCTGGAAGTCAGAGCTGCTGTGAAGCTCGGGCACCACGAGACGCTTAAGGACGCCTTGGCCCATGCACTGGAGGTGGAAGCCGTGCGGCAGGACCATCGTTCCCATCGCGTCAGGGAGGTTACAGCAGCTACAGTTCGCGACTGCAACAAAGGATACAGCCCTAGGTGCTATGGCTGTGGGGAAAGGGGCCATTTTCGCTCCAGCTGCCCTAAGCGAACTGTAGAAAGGAGAGTTGATCGATCTCGACAGGGTAGTGCAGCTAACGGCACCGCCTGGCGGTGGCCGGATCGTCGTTCCCCTCGCACTAGGGAGGTTGCAGCAGTTACGTTTCGCGACCATAATAAAGGATTCAGCCCTAGGTGCTATGGCTGTGGGGAAAGGGCCATTTTTGATCCAGCTGCCGAAGCGAACCTAGAAAGGGAAGGTGAACGATCTCAGAAGGGAAGTGCGGCTAACATCACCGCCCAGCAGCAGCCGGGATACGACTTTACTATCAGACATCGCAGCGGGAAATCTCATGGCAACGCAGATGCATCGTCAAGAAGACCTTGTCCTGAAGATTGCAACCATTGTAGTAGGCAAGAGAGTAAAGAAGTGGTATCCGTGAGGATGCTCAGGACAGACCACCTCAGCAACGGGTGGAAGGACAGCCTACGACATGCACAACAGGAAAGATCCAGACATCAAGCCGATTCTGGGATGGATGAAGGCCCGTGCTACCAAGCCTAAGTGGAGGGACGTCTCAGCGATGAGTTCAATCACGAAAAGCTATTGGGCCCAATGGGGCAGCTTGCTGATTCAGGATGGAGTCCTGTGCCATAAATGGGACAATGGTCGAGGAGCTGTCGTTTACAAATGGTTGTCCCTAAAGCTAAAGTGCCGAATGTTCTACAGCTGTGCCATAATTGTCGTTCAAGAGTCCATCTGGGAGTTAAACGAACTCTACTGAAGGTCCGAGAACAGTTTTACTGGGTCCATTATCGTGACGATGTCGAGGATTGGTGTCGTACATGTACAAGTTGTGCGGCCGTGCGGGGACCTCAGACACGTAGTAGAGGAGCACCGAAATTGTACAATGTTGGTGCACCACGGGATAGGACAGCCCTTGACATTGCGGAGCCGTTACGGAAAGGCGCAAGAGGGACTCCTAAGCTCGTCCATGTGGATCGCCTGGCGCGTTATTATGGGGCCAATAATGCTCGGGACGAGCATGTCTTAGAAGGGGGCAGTGTTACGCGCTCAAGTCGACGGCACTAGCGCCATCTAGTCTCGAACCGAAGAACTAAACTTCTTGAAGTTGAAACACGAACTTTCGGTACCTTGCGCGTGTTTACTTGAATATTCTGGATATTTCGCTGCTAATTTATATAAATAGGCGCTGCAAGATGCGATCGAGGAAGTATTGAATTCGGCGAGACAAGCGAAGCTTCGGAGCGGAATAAAGTGAATTAGTGTGATTAATTATTAGTTTTTTTAACTTTAACCAGTGTAAAGTGAATTAAAGTGTTAATTTAGGTAATTCTATCGGCAATTTTTATTGTCACGAACCTCAAGCTCGTAACATTATATACAATTTACAATACCTGTTATATTTACCTACTTTAAACATTCACCGCCGCTTAAACGATCTGTTTATTAAATAAAAATTAACAGTTTCTTCTAATTATGGTCATTGAAAATTAACAAAATATAAATGATCATCAAAGTTATTAATTTAGAAACGTATTGCGAATAACTCGTGTTTGAACAATCTAAACTAATGTAAATTTCATTGAAGAGGATTACGCAGCAGGCGGATATACTAAATGAACTTATAAATCTACCACTGCGTCCCTCAGATATAATAGTGCAACCCATGTGAACCCAGAGCTCGTAGCAATGTCACATATAATTTTTACAAGTTGAACAATATGACGTAAAGTTTTTATTTATCATTAATAAGTAAATAATTGCTGAAAAGTTTGACTCCAATCAAGATTGCAGTTAAAAAGACATACCTAGTCGTATCGATCAGTACGCTGAAGTGCTCGAAACCGACGAAAAAGAAAAAAATCTGAGGTAAAAGTTCTATTCTAGTAGGCGTTACCGATACCGTTACAGCCTTTTAAAGTCCACTGCTGGACATAGCCTTCTCTCTCTTAAACTGCCTCATAGGGCCGTAGTTGTCAAGCTTGGCAAGCGGGTTGGCAACCACAGTCTTTTTTTAAATTAGTCGTTATCGGAAGACGGTGCTGTCCATCTCCTCATTTGTTACCCGCTATCGCCTCTTACGACACCCACAGAACGATATGGGGTATTGGATATTCTTACACTACTACTACACGGTATAATTATGCGTAGTTCATAGTAAAGTATGACGATCTTGAGTGATGATAAAGCTCCCAAATGATAATACAATTCCATGCTTTGTGAGTCTATGCCGGTTATACCTATTTTCAGCAGTGGACTGGATTCGGGTTGTAATGATGTACAAAAAAAAATTTAAAAAGACATAAGTAAAACAAGAAAGAATCTAAAAGCTGTCTCCGCTTGAATATATATAGGACTTCATGGATGCTTGGCTTGAGCTTTAAATTTAAATAACGAAAACAATTTATGATAGCATCTTTAAAATGCAACAAAATATACCAAAGTACGTAGATACCAGTATAAGTAAAAGCTGAGTAACCGTTAGAAGTCTAATAAAAACATAAACATATTTATCTATGTGTTATTCAGATCTTATAAATCAGCAAATTTATCATTTTTATTTTTATTTTATTTTGAATTAAAAAGACTAGTTCAGATTTCAAATGATGTTTTAAAACTAATAACAATTTTTAACAACTATTTCATAATATTTTAGTATAAAATATTCACGGTAAAATTCATTCCTATTCATGTCACTATCGCAGGACCATCTCCTTTTTCTTCATGAAAACATATCGCAACTCAAAAGCTCATTTACATATAAAACTTGTACATTTGATCATATAAGTGCTCGAATATACTATGTGTTACTTTATTTTTAATTTACATCCACGAAAACATAAGAAAATCAAATAAATATTTGCTTATCTTCAATAGGTCATTAACGAGTGCGAAATATGATTATCAATCCGCCTCTGCAGGTTACTTATGTATAACAAATGTAACACTGGTTTTATACGTGGTAGAACCATGCTGCAGTTATATTAGTAGTATAGCTGTAGCACGAATGGGTCGACTCGACCGGGGAAGGACCACGCTCTCACAGAATACCAGCGTAAAATAGTAGCTTAGTGCTGCTGTTTCATATGGTGAGTGTAGAGAACAAGAGACCATTCTTACGAGACGAGGCATTCCATCTTAGTCCTCACGGGTGACAACGCATCTGCATTTTGATTTGTAATCGAGGATAGATGTAGATGCGTATGGGCCACAGCAACCACTTACCATCAGGTGAACTGTGTGCTAGTTTGTCACCCTATCCTATAATAAAAAAATAACAAAATGGCACAATTAACATTGATTAATGTGTATTACCC